AAGGAGCAGCACCATTGATGAAAGAATTGGAACATTGTTTTGCATGCTCAGACACATAACCACGTTCAGGAAGGGCGCTGTACATGAACTTTTCCCTGGACTGATGTTTGCCATGGGGAAACAGTACAAAATTTGCTTAGAGTTCAAATTTAATGGTAATCTACGACCAAATGCCTATGAGTATTATATATAGTATGCTATTATGACATTTATAATTTATATTATTATCAGTAATGGCAGGGTACACGAGTATGAGAGAAAAACTAAAAAGGTCTTTTCTTCTTTCTAGTTGAGCCTCTATAAGTACCGACGTGCAGTTTAACCAGTAGAGGCAGTAGTAAATGTATTTTTTTATTAATTGCAGTTAACACATCATTCATTTCATAGACTAATTCCCAAATTGCAAAGTTCAGATTATTTCCAAAGATGTAAACTAATAAAAAGTGAGGACAAATAATTTCACCTTTGTCAAGGGTTGAACACAATTGCCCACAATTGCAGCACCAGTATTTGGCATAGCATCCCGTTGCTCCATACATCCAAGAACACCATTAGTTTTTCCATACTACCTTGTCTGCAGAGTTGATCAATAACAGCAGTACAGTTAATCCACTAATTCAAGATATATTTGGGTTATAGTATCACTGCGCCTAAGGAAAACACTACATATAGTAATTTCTTGTGCCTCTGGAGGCGGGAGAGCTGGTTGCTGATAGGTGGAGGACTGAATGATGGATGGATTTATCAAATATGTATTGATATCCTATATAAGAAGATGAATTTCAGCATAGCATCATTGTGCTGACAACATATCCATGACATAGCAAGTGGGCTTACCTTACAGGTCATCTGAACTCGCTGCTTTGAGATGGATAAGGTAGTTATCTCGTAGGCTATAAGACACTCACTATTGCTATTGCATACAAGGCTGCATTACATACGTCACAGTACACAACAATTTCTGTTAGTAGAGCCTAACCGGCGGTATGCGTGGCCAAAAAAAAAACATTAGCAACAATCTAAAAGGTATTATGTCTGAAATGGTAGTGGCAAAAACAATGCATGCTGCTGTTTTTATCGAAAAAATGTTTTATCCAATATTTTTCTTCGCACTCTGCAATTCAGGATGGCCTTAATTTTACTATAGCAATTTTATTCGACGAACACTAAAGTCCATCTTTCCTCTGAAATATGCCATCCCAACTAAAGTGCTTCATACCAAAAACATGTTATCATGCCTAATAAATTTATTGTATTAGAACAAACAACATTCTAAACATTTCCTTTATCAAAATTAAGCTCAGGTCAGGTGACGCCAGCTAGGTGAATTAAGTTCATATAGGATCTATATTTTCAAGACTTTTATCACCTCAATGTATCGCACCTGAAAATTAACAAAATGTTCCTTTATCAAAAAAAAATATAGGATCTATACTTGTATAAAAAAAGATTGGCATGAATCCAGTGCTGTAGCATAATTTCTATGCCATTAAATTACAGAAGTCAGATGAAATGTCCAGGCAGAGACATTGGCACTTGTTAGGATAAGAAAATGTACAAAGAAGGCTTAACAGGCTGCATAAATCACAAGTGGCATTACAATTGTTTGGAAAATAAGGCCAAGGTGTGAGTTGACTAAAAATAATATGACCAACGACCACTGGGAATTAAAAATGACCAAAGAAAATCAAATAATATATTGCATATAGATTATTTGGTTCATCTCCCATACGACCAAGACTCAAGTTTTAACTTTGGAACTGCATTAGGATGTCAACACATAGGAATGACTGGTAGATCATAAAAAAATAACAACAGATAAAAGCATATACTTATCCTTGTGGCTGCTGGGTTATATGCGATCACTAATCAAGGTGCATCCGATTAGCTTGGCAAATAAGGAAAAAAAGTTACTATAGGTTTACCTTTGAAACAGGTGACAAAAGAATTTCATGGATAAGGAAGCTGGCATCCTTGCTGCCAAGTTACTCCCACTTTGGATGAACTAAGAAATATCTTGATTATCAATTAATTATTGCACCAGGTATGTAAGTTTTGGTATTCAACATCAGAAGAAGTATTCTTGGTATTTTATTTCCCTGCAAGCATTCAAGAAACGTGAATATGACAATTTAAACTAAAACACATGACTACATGATGGCTGAGCAAGTGTGAAATTGGGAAACGTAGTGGTCTATAAAGCAAAGAAATGCACTACAAATCTCATCTGTATCACCGAAGCATCCTCTGTATCACAAAGAAATGCTAAAATTGTAATCCGTGAATGAAGGTCAAATATTAACACCAAACAATAATTCGTCAGATGTGAGACAGTATATCACATTCCACTCTTTTATTTCGGGAAACAATCAGATAAATAATTTTTCATCAAGGTATCAATGGAGCCTTAGCAACATAAGAGAAATTTACAAAATTAGAGATGCATATAGAAACATAAAGGCATAATTGTAGAGTTCATCAGCCAGCTTTTTGGTCATGCAGCAAAAAGTCGCAAAGAAATATAAACAATATGGAAACTAAACCATATAGACCATGTATCATGTATTGAGGTTTATAATCATACAGTAGGAAAAATGTGAATGACATGAAAGGGAACAAATTTGGATATACAAATGGATGTAGAACAAAAACATGTGAATAAATAAAACTGACAGAAATACTAAGCGCCATGTGACATGTCTGCATTTAAGGTGTAGGAAATCCAACATCTACAAGGCAATTGATAGGTCACTTTCTATCTAGAAAAACAAATCAGTTAGGATATTAGGAAGCACTTAAATATTTAAATATGCAGAGATAGATAGGCAGTGGATTCATGTCCATACGTTCAGCAGGTCGAAGGCATTAAATAGAGATGCTTCTCATATAGCCAAGAATAGACGGTGACGCAATGAATCCATGAACCATCTCTTCTTTTTCAGAGCTAACTATCACAACCATGTAAGAGCTCAATTTGTTCACAAATTGATAAAGTAGATGTACTGCTTGAAAAACAAAACAAATAGAACCTAAGGAAAGTTTGTGGAAATTAATAGTGGGTTCCCAGAGCACTTAGTTACTAAGATTGTTTTTGTAATCGGTTTGAGCAACCTATATCTGCAAATATGAACAAATAGATGAGAGGACAAAGGATCATTAGTGGTAGACCTGTGCTGACCTTTATCAGTGACGACCATGTGGATCCTCGGCGGCGTTGCCGGCAAGCTGCAGGGCCTCAGGAAAAGCAAACACAGAGATGCCAGTCAAAACCTAACCAAATCGAGAAGGCCGCAACAACCCCATCGAGATTGAACCCCATATCCAGACTGAGAAGAAGGGGACACGAACCTGGACGGTGTCGATCTACTCGAAGACAGCGGCGAGGTATACCTTGGGGAGTACCAAGCTTGGGCAGAGATGAAGATGAGGGAAGCGTTTGCAGCCGAGGCCAGTCGTGACCCAAGCGTCGTTGCCGCCAGCAAGGGCCACCGGTCCGCGCAGCTGCCGCATCTGGACCCGTAGCCGCCGGGGGGGAGGAAGAGGACACGACGCGATTCGTCCGCGCAGTGAGGTGGCCATGTTCCGCGTGGCCGACCCACGCCCACGTCGAGGCCCCGGATGGAGTCTTTGAGCGCCTCCACGCCGGCCGCGAGCCCCTCACTAGAAACAGAAGACGCGGCGTGGTCCGGCGGGACGGATGCGGTCACGCCGTCGCGGGGTTGTGGTCGCGTCGTTGGGAGATGGAGGGGTAGGGGAGGGGGAGGCGGGCGGGGGAGGGGTGGCCGCCGACGTCGGAGAGACGACCGGCGGCTGCGGCGGTGATAGGGTCGTGGAGCTCGTCGGGGCTAGGGTTGCAGGGGGAAGGAGGGAGGAGCAGAGGAGGTGGAGCTCGTGTGGCTAGGGTTGGAGGCGGCGGGGTCGGGTGCCTGTGTGACTGAGAAATGGAGACGGGGATGGGATGAGAACTAGAGATGGAGACGGGATGGGAGCCGTGCCGAACGTACAAATGTTTCGGTGAATTGTTTTTATCTAATGATAAAGAGGAGAGGTATTAAATGTGTCCATCTACCCGGCTTATTTTTTTGTGATGATAGTATGGAGCGGAGGCATTAAATGTGTCCACTGCGTAGGTGAAGATGTCCAGTGTTTTTAAATTTACTGAGTAAATTTCTGGATAACTTAGGGAGACACTCGTGCATGCATAAAAATTTACTTCCTAGTATGTATTGACAGTAAATTCATTAATGTAAAAGAAGAAGCCACATATGATGTAAATTCCTTCTATCATAGTTACTTTTTATGTAAAGGACACGTGAAAGCACAGTGATGTAAATCCTCCTACCGTAGTAACTTTTTGCATGCAAAGTACACGTACAGTTTATATTGTCCTTGCATGCATGGTCATTTAATTTTTCATCTACTTCATTAAATGCGTCCACTTGCTTCATCTATCCACTACCGAATACATGGAGGAAGGCCGGTTGTAATGCGCTTCATCTGAGTCGTGAAATTTCTATTAATACACACCAACTAAATAGAATGTATATAGACATCCTGATAGGCCGCCTTTTCAGCGTGCCTTCCTATCTCTAATTCTAGTTCAGCCAGTTGGCGTGTTTTACTGGCGGAGGGCCGAGGACGACGGCGTGGTGGCTCAGTGGCTCCCGCTTTATTTACTCCTTAAGAATCGTTCGCTCCAGCTGACCCTCCCCGGCCCCCTCCTTTCCTCCCGTCTCGTCGTCTCTCCGCGCTCCAGCTCCACGCCAATTAAACCCTACTCTCCCTCTCTCTCTCTCTCTCTCTCTCTCTCTGTGCGTCATTTCCGTTTCCGTCTCTCCCTCTCCTCGCCCACACGTCCAAAACCGATGGGAGCAAACGAACAAAACCCGGCCGAGTAACGCAGGACACGCGGACGTTGCGCGCAGAACGACGCGTAGTGTGCAGCGCTGCGGGCGGCAGGCGGACTGACAGAAGAGCAAGCAGCAGGCCGGGACGATACGATGGAGGCGGCGGCAGCGTCAGCCGAGTACGGGTACTACGGCGGAGGCGCGGGCCCACGCGAGAGGAAGACCGCGGGGTGCGGGGACCACTTCGTCGTGGACGACCTCCTCGCGCTACCGTACGATGACGACGAGGAAGGGGGCGGGGAGGCGGCGGCGGCAGGCGACGGCGGCGAGGCCCCGCCGTGCCTGCAGCCTGCTGTCGACGCCCACGGAGTCGTAGGCCTCGTCAAGGAGGAGCGCGGCGGCCTCGGGAATTTCTCCGCCGACTCGTCCACCGTCACGGCCCTGGACAGCTGCAGCAACTCCATCTCTGGGCTAGCCGACGGCGACTTCCCGGGGGAATTCTGCGAGCCGGTAACTTGTGTCTTCCGTATATACTGTCAATTTGTGTGAATTCATTTGGCAAATTTAGCCTGTTAGTATCCTCTTCTAATTCTTCAACAGCTCAACGGAAAATTGAGAAGAAATGGGGACGCACTGGTGGTGGATTTGTTGTAACTTTGTAGGAGTGCTGTTGCAAGATTTTATTTTTAGGCCATGTTTGACAGAGCTCCACTTCATCTATGAAGTTTTTTTTTAGGCTTCAGCTCCATGAACAGTTTTATGGGTGGAGCTGTAGCTGTTTTGATAAATCGTTTGGCAAAACAGCTTCATATATAGTTTTTATTAAAATATGCTCTCAGAGAACGCCATGTAGAATGAGGTGAAGCCGAGAGAAGCCACTATTTTTGGCTCTTTCCCACCCCAAAGCTATGTGAGAGCACGTTTTTAGGGGCTTCATCGGTGGAGCCGTTTTATTTTACCCCGTTTGACAGAAAACGGCTCCAAATGGCTCCTGAAGCCGTTAGGGAAGCCCTGCCAAACGAGGCTTTAATCTTCCGAAAGAAAAAAAAAAGAAAACATTTGGATTCCTGTGTTAACCACTCAATTTTGGTCCTTCAGAATCCGTAACTCCATAAAATTGACGTAAATAGTAACAGTACCAAAAGTAGAAAACTTCAAGCACACCAGCCCAAACTGAGAATTATGCAAAGTTTAGCCTGCAATTTTCCTGTATGTCAGAACTCGCGGTCGCTAAACTTGTTGCTGTGAATTCTGCGCAGTACGATCAATTGGCGGAGCTGGAATGGCTATCCAACTACATGGGCGAGGGCGAGGAAACTTTCGCCGCGGAGGACCTCGAGAAGCTGAAGCTCATTTCCGGCGGGTTCTCCTCGGTTCTGCCACCAGCTCCTGTGGCCCCTGCGGCCGCAGCTTCAGCCGCCGCCGCCTCTGCGGCACAGCCCGGTATGTTCCTCCCGGAGGCACCGGTACCCGCAAAGGCCCGTAGCAAGCGCTCCCGCGCGGCTCCGGGCAACTGGTCGTCGCGGTTGCTCGTGCTCCCGCCGACCCCGATGTCACCACCGTCCCCGGCGTCGATGGCCGCCATCTCGCCGGCGGAGTCCGGCATCTCGGCGCCGCAGGCGTTCCCCGCCAAGAAGCCGTCGAAGAAGAAAGACGCGGCGCTAGCAGCGCCTCCCGCCTCAAACGTGTCCGCGGCAGCACAGCCCGGGCCCGGCGGCGGCGGCTCGTCGGCCGCGTCGGCAGAAGGGCGGCGGTGCCTGCACTGCGAGACGGACAGGACGCCGCAGTGGAGGACGGGGCCCATGGGCCCCAAGACGCTGTGCAACGCGTGCGGGGTGCGGTACAAGTCGGGGCGGCTGGTGCCGGAGTACCGGCCCGCGGCGAGCCCCACCTTCGTGATGTCCAAGCACTCCAACTCGCACCGAAAGGTGCTGGAGCTGCAGCGCCAGAAGGAGGTGGTGCAGCAGCCGCACCCGCACGTGATCGCCGGCGGCGGTGGTCCTGCAGGCGGGCTGATGCGCATGCAGAGCGCGATGCTGTTCGACGGGCCGTCGGCGCCCCCCATCGTCGCCGCCGGCGACGACTTTTTGATCCACCACCACTTAGGGACAGCAGACTACCGGCAGCTCATCTAGATGAGTCTACTAGCTTGTGCTAGAGTTGATCAATTAGCCCAGTAATAATTAATGCATCAGCTAAAATCCAAGAACCCTCCTCCTTAAAAATATGAAAGAACTACTAATCTTGCCTTAGGAGTTCTTTTTCCTCTCCATTTTGCTTATTAATTAGTTCGTGTGCTTCTGTTCAGCTCTTCGAAATTTTCGTGGCAATTTTCTTGATTTTATCATCCTGCTTTCTTTTCTTTTTTTTGCCAGCCTCTCCTAACCTGCTTAGAACTCTATGAGAGAGAGTTTCCTAGCCCTTTTCTTCCTTTGTTTCTTAGCATTCTGTAATTTACGGGCTACTACATATCTTCCACAGTAGCTCTCATTCTGCTTCCGGAACATGAAAAGAAGACTGGAAATTTTGGCCTTTTTATTTTGCTTTGTTCTAAGACTACCATCATCACATACGTTGATGATGTGGTGCTCATCAGTATCTACTTCTCGTCCCTGCTATATACACTGTGGTGATGCATGCATGCAGCAGCCATGCAAGCCGGCAGGTGAATTAACCCAAAGACGCGATAGTACATGCAAAGTCACGGATGTTGTGTGCGCAACCGAACAAGGCAGTGCACGCCGGAGGCGAGCGAGCGAGCGTGCCAAACCCGCCACAACCCGGGGCGCACGTGATCATAAGAATCTTGCGTGAAAGAGATGCCTCCTCGATGTAACAAGAAAGCAAACAAATGCAATGGTGGGGCTGGTGCCTGGTGGTCGTCGAGTATAGTGGATCCAATCGGCATGTGATAATGTATCAAAAAAAATCGGCATGTGATAAACATATAAACCTCTGTTCGTTCCTCACTGTAAATCTGCATGCCGCCCCCCGGCCGACTCGCTTTTAATTTGCGACTGCATCTGCATGCATGCGGCTGTAGTGCTGTGGGCTGTGGCTGCGCTCATCGCCGCGCCGCCCCCCACCAGGCCACCACTGCAAGTCTGCAACGCTGAGCCTGAAGCAGGGAGAGAGAAAAGGAAGAAACCTTTTCGTTTCACCTTGCCGCCACCTTGGCGTTACGCTGCGCTCTGGCTACGTAGTACAGCACGTACTGAAACTGACCAGCAGCAGAGAGTGGGCGCAGAACAAGGCGGCAGGGACAGGCTACCACCGTAGGCGAGCCACATCTGTCACTCATGTCCTGCGACTGCGAGTCTTGGATTAACCGATCGGCTGTGGATGCAATGCAATGCATGCATCAATCTAGCTCTTGCATGCATACTGCCTCGTCATCTACCCATGCATGAACATGCATGCAACGACGGTACGGTTGTATTAGAAGTACTAGGAGGAGCAATTTGGTAACAGTAGCTTAGCTTAGCCATTACAGCATCGAGTAGAGTAAAAGTTAATTTAAGCAAGGTGGTGGCAGCTTGCATTGTCACGGGCACTGTGAGCGCATGTGGGCTCTCACTACCAGGAGACAAGCGGAGGAGTATAAAAACCGGCATCGCTGATCGCGGGCAGGCAGCGCCGCGGCAGGGCGCTCACATGGGGGGTTGCCAATAGAGTAACCCGAGAATATAGAGAGAGAGAGAGAGAGCCGAGGAGGCAGAACCCAGAGGGTAATCTGGGGGGTGTTTAGTTGGGCAGGCAAACTTTACATAGTAAAGATTTCCTACCGTAGCATTTTGTTTGTATTTATAAATTATTGTCTAAACATTGATTAATTAGGCTTAAAAGATTTATCTCGCAAAGTTAAAACAAACTGTGCAATTAGTTTTTTATTTCATCTACATTTAATACTCCATACATATACCACAAATTTAACTAAACAAGGGCCTAGCTACGAGCTCTGAATAATAATGCTGACGAGCGGCATTTCGTTCTTAGCCTACAACCGCAATATATACATACAGTATTGCGCTGCTGGCCCTGCTCCTCGGTCCGGGCGTCGTCCTCGTGATCCCAGGCACGCAGGCGTGTTGGCGATCCAAATGGAACGATCGTTAAACTATACCGCGCCTGGTGCGGTATACTATGTGCATCGCCCAACAATTAATTACTCGATTTGATATCCACAGATAAGTACTACTAGTAGCTCTACTGCTGCTCCTGTACCGCTCCACGAATATACCCTTGACATTTCACTGTGGTGCACTGTGCGTTTTGCCTTGGGTCACTGCGTTGCATCCGAGTGTCCGTCACCGTACGGTCCAGTAGGCCTCCATGCATGCCGCCTGGAAACCGTCGCTCCCCTGCTGCATGCACTCCTATGAATTATGATGGTGTGTGCATGACTGAATGGTAACCCGGCCGGCAGCCCAGCATACGCACGCAGCATGTTCCGTCCGTCCCGTCCGCATGAGTACAGGAGTACAACAAGGATACCGAGACGATCGATCGAGCACCGTCAAAGTAAGCTATAGCTAGGACGACGACGCACACGCGCCACCACGCCACCACCGGCCAACCATTGATCGTCATGCATGCATCGATCTGCTGGCTAGCTAGCTAGCTTATGCCACTAGATGCACACGCACGTACTGGTTGTTGGTCAATGCCACGACCTCTCCGTTATACTATACTATGCCCCTTTAGCCGTGCGATCGATCATCCAGATCGAGGTGATGGAGCGAGATTAGTTAGACCGAGGACTGAGGAGCTCGATCGATCGGCGGATTTGGAGCTAGCGTGCACGCAGATGCTACGCGCGCGCCTGGGTTTGTTGCGAGTTAATTAAGCCGGGGCGGGCATGGCATGGCACGGCGCGGCCGAGTGGGTCGCTCACATTATCACATGCGCGCTCACATTATCACGTGCGGCGGGCTTTTCTTCGGGGGTAACATGCGTGCGCGGAGCCCAGGCCGCTCTGTCTCTGTGCGCGTCTTCGATCGGTCGCCGGCCGGTGGAGATTGGCGGAGGGTAGGGACTAGGGAGGGATCGGAGGGGCCGGAGACTCGGAGACGCGGGCGCGGGCGCGGGTCACGTCTCCGGGGCACGTGCAGGCACGTGCGCAGGCGTGAGCACGCCCACCACCCGCGGGGGGCGGCTTTCTTTTTGGGCGTGGGGGCCGCGGGCCGCGGGGCGGTGGGAGGCGTGCAGGGCGCAGATGCCCCGGCCCGGCCGGCGGTGCCCCGCCACGCCAGGCAAAAGAGCCCCACGAGCTGTGCTGTGGCCCGTGGCGTCGATCGCCACCTGCCGGCTGCCTTATCCTTGAGCGAGTGGTACGTGCGATGATGCCGTGCCGCCCATACCTGCCTGCTCGCTGGACGTGGCCTCTGGAGTCTGGCTTGGCCTGGAGATATTTTCTCCGGTGTCTTGTTTTCGTGCCATGATTTCATCGAGGCCCTCGATCTACTAGTGGTACACTGGTCGTACTGCTACATCACCACCACCACTGCTACTACCGTGTTCATCTGTTTCCCGGCAGCTGGGTTCGAAAAATCCAAACCTGAAATGAGAACCCGAGCCCACGTCGATCGGTAACAAAACTGCCAATCGAACTCGAATCCTCCAGCACATGACCTGACTGGCCCAAGTATTCAACTTTCACTATCAAGCATTGCGCTTCTGGTGTTACGGCGCTGTACAAACAAAGTTGGCCTTGTATGAACTGTTAGATTGATCTCCCAGCCAATAAGCCCAACGGCCTATTGGACCTTGGTCATGCGTCTTGATCGGGGGCGCCCAACCCTATATGGTTGGTGGGCTCCCGTCGCACTGCGCTATATAAAGAGGTGGGGGCCGGCGGCTCGAGGTACGAGGTTCACCGTGAGCCGCAAACCCCACCGACAAACCCTAGACCGATCTAAGAGGCGCGCTTGACCCGGCGACAGGAAGCTCCACCGACTTGGCATTGTCGTCATTGTTATTCTGTGCGTCCGTCTGCACCTTTGCATCGACGTCCGTGCCACCTCTACTCCACCCGTCATTGCCCCTGTGTCTTGCCTCCATCAAGGCCGAGATGGCCGGCTCATGACTCCTCCGAGAGCTCAGGTTCAACACCAACACCTCTCTCTTTATCTCTCCGATCTTTCCCCTCTGTTCATCCCGTATTCAAAGGAACAAACCCTAGATCTACCGCTAGAGATTCTAAATGTTCTTAACAATGGTATCAGACGCCTGTCTAGTCGTAGATCTGGATCAGGGAAGAAGAGAAAATCGAACCCTAACTCTAGATCGGAGTGCACGGAAAAGTCGAAACACATTGAGACACGGTCTCAACAAAGAACACTAACCCTAGGCATTCGCCAAACCTAGGGTGTAGATCTAAGGTTTTGGAATCAAGAAACCCAAAACAAAAGAAAGACGGATTTCAATTGGACAGAAATGACTCAAACCCTAACCCTAAAGAATGATCGGGGTTTGGCGAAAAGATCGAGAATGGCCGATCCAAATCGGATCGGGGACAAATGAAATGACTTGAACCCTAAACCTAACAGATCGGCGCGATGGAAGGACCTACCTACCGTTCTCTCCACCCCACCACTTTGCCGTGTGGAGAAGAAACCGCATCGCTGCGTGAGCACAGAGAAAAAGAGCCATGAGCTCGGCCAGCAGGCACCGTCGCAAGGCTACTCGGCGGCGTGCTCTACCATGGCGAAACCACGCGGCGAGGAACTTCACGGCGGCGCCATCTCCATCTTCTTCCTCCGGGCCGCCATGGGCGGACACCACTGCTGCTCGTCCTTGGGTGGTGCAGGCACACGAAGAAGGGGAGAAGGGAGAAAGAGAAAGAGAGGCCGGGGGAGCAACTGCGGAACAGCTATGGGGTTTTTATCCCTGCGAAATCGACGGATGACCGTCGGATCACGACGAACGGTGGCGATCGATCGGGCTGGCTTTTGGCCCAGGCGGTCAAGGACTTTCCCGGCCCAAGCCCACGTTGCGGCCTGGGCGTGGGGGAGCGCGCGCCGCGCGGCTGGGCCGTGGGCAGCTGGGCCGGTGAGCGCGTTTCTAGGCCAAAATGGCATATACACAGTATAGCTCGTGATTTTGTTTATTTATTTTTCCAGAAACTGTTTACTTC